GCGCTCTTGGAGCTGTCCTGAGTGTTTCTGAGGTGGCTCGGAGGCCCATCGGCAGTGAAAAGGCGACGTGCTACGAACGTACTGCTTGTGGACAGATTTTGAGCAATTTGGAAACTCGGAGCCCTCTTGGGAGCGTCTTCATCCTGTACCTGGAGGCCTCTGGGAGCGTCTGTGGGCCGCTGTGGAAGCGTATTGGGGTGTCTGGGGTCCGTCTTGGGGATATTGGACCATCTGGGCAGCCTCGAGGGCCGTCGGGAGTCCATCCGGGGCCGTCTTGGGGTGGTCTTGAGAGGCAAATGAGCATGCTTGCAGCCGTCGTGGGAACCTCTTGGACCAGCTTGGGACGGTCTTGGGGGCCTCTTGGGCCGTCTTGGAGCGTCGGGACGACGAAAAATTGAGGAAGCCAAAAACCTTTAAAAGCCTGAAGGCAAGCAATGATTTTGGCTGTTTGGGTCCCTCTTGGGAATGCTCTTGGGGTTGTCTTGGGACGTCTTGGACGCAACCTGGGCCTTCCGGGAACCATCTTGGGCGTCTTGGAGCGGTCGTATGCGCGTCGAGGCACGCTTTGACCGTCTTCGACGCCTCTTGGGCCGTGTTTGTAAGCTCTTGGGCGGTCTTAGGCGCCGATTGGGTTGTTTTTAGGCCCTCTTGGGCCGTCTTGGGGCGTTCTTGGGGGCCTGTTGGGCGATCTTGGGACGGTCTTGGGGACTTCGTGGTCTGTCTTGGAGGGTCGGGACAACGAAAAAACAAGAAAACCAAAAACCTTCGAAAAAACAGCGGAATTCAATGATTTCGGCCTCTTGCAACCCTCTTGGGAATGCTCTTGGGGCTCTCTTGGGACGTCTTGGAGGCCTCTTGGGCCATCTGGGAGCCATCTTGGGCGTCTTGGAGCGGTCTTAGGCGCGTCGTGGCACGCTCTGACCGTCTTCGACGCCTCTTGGGCCGTGTTTGCAAGCTCTTGGGCGGTCTTAAGCGTCTATCGGGTTGTTTTTAGGCCCTCTTGGGCCGTCTTGGGGCGCTCTTGGGGACCTCTTGGGCGATCTTGGGACGGTCTTGAGGACTTCGTGGGCTGTCTTGGAGGGTCGGGACGACGACAAAAACAAGAAAACCGAAAACATGCAAAAAAACAGCGGAATTCAATGATTTCGGCCTCTTGCAACCCTCTTGGGAATGCTCTTGGGGCTCTCTTGGGACGTCTTGGAGGCCTCTTGGGCCATCTGGGAGCCATCTTGGGCGTCTTGGAGCGGTCTTAGGCGCGTCGTGGCACGATTTGACTGTCTTCGACGCCTCTTGGGCCGTGTTTGCAAGCTCTTGGGCGGTCTTAAGCGCCTATCGGGTTGTTTTTAGGCCCTTGGGCCGTCTTGGGGCGTTCTTGGGGGCCTCTTGGGCGATCTTGGGCCGCTCTTGGGGACTTCGTGGGCTGTCGTGGAGGGTCGGGACGACGAAAAAACAAAAAAACAAAAAAAAAAAAAACCTGCAAACAAAAAACGGAATCCCATGATTTCGGCCTATTGCGGCCCTCTTGGGAATGCTCTTGGGGCTCTCTTGGGACATTTTGGAGGCCTCTTGGGCCGTCTGGGAGCCATCTTGGGCGTCTTGGATCGATCATAAGCGTCTCGAGGCACGCTTGGACCGTCTTCGGCGCCTCTTGGGCCAGACAAGGGCGCTCCAGGAGGCCCGATCCCGCCATGGGGGGTTGCGGTCCAGGCCAGGGAGCCCCCGGCCCTGTAGCCCGGTGTACATATATATATATATATATATATATATATATATATACATACATACATACATACATACATACATACATACATACACACACACATACATACATACATACATACATACATACACACATCTCTGTATATCAACCATCGCGCGCGCTTCGCGCGCGCTCAGTTTCTAGCCCATGCCTGGGGGGCGCTGGATGATCTTGGACAGCGCTATCAAGCACAGGCGCGTGATCTAGTCGTGCCTTCTGAGGGCCTCTTTGGGACCTCTTGGGTCTTCGGGGCGTGTAGGGGGTTTTCCGTGCTTCCTCTGGGTGGGCATCTGGGGGGCATATGGGGGGCATTCGGGCGTCTGCGGCTCTGTCAGGCCGCTCTGGTCGCCTCTAGCCTCTGGAATTGTTTGGACAGCGGGGAAATGCCCAGGAGGCCCAGGAGGCCTCGCACGGGGTGAAACATGCCGTGGGCCAGAGGGGGGATCCGGGAGGGTGTCTGGGCCTGGGCCCCTACATTTATGCATGCATGTATGTGTGTATGCATGTATGTAAGAAAGTATGTATGTATGTGTGTATGTGTATGTGTATGTGTATGTGTATGTGCATGTGCATGTGCATGTGCATGTGCATGTGCATGTGCATGTGCATGTGCATGTGCATGTGCATGTGCATGTGTATGTGTATGTGTATGTGTATGTGTATGTGTATGTGTATGTGTATGTGTATGTGAATGTGTATGTTTATGTGTGTGCATGTGCATGTGCATGTGCATGTGCATGTGCATGTGCATGTGCATGTGTATGTGTATGTGCATGTGTATGTGTATGTGTATGTGTACGTGTATGTGTATGTGTATGTGTATGTGTATGTGTATGTGTATGTGTATGTGTGTTTGTATGTGTATGTGTATGTGCATGTGTATGTGCATGTGTATGTGTATGTGTATGGATGATTGCATGCATGTATGTATGTGTGTCTGTGTGTATGTATGTATGGATGGAGTGATACATGTACGTGTGTATGTATGTATGTGTCTATGGATGGATGTATGTGTTTATGTATGTATGTAAGTATGAATGTATGTGTAGGTGGGTAGGTGTGCGTTATGTATGGATGTATGCGTTTATGTATGCATGCATGCATGTATGCATGTATGCATGTATATTTGTATGTGTGTATTTAAGTAAGTTATGTATGTACGATTGTGTGTATGCGTGTATGTGTGTAGGTGTGTAGGTGTGCATTATGTATGGATGGATGCGTAAATGTCTGCATGCATGCATACATGAATGCATGTATGTGTTTGTGTATGTATGTAAATAAGTATGTATGTATGTGTATGTGTGCATGTGTAGATGTACGGGTATGTATATGTGTATGTGTATGCATATGTGTATGTGTTTGTGTATGTGTATGTGTATGTGTATGTGTGTGCGGATGTGTATGCATGCGTATGTATGTATGCATGTATGTGTATGTGTATGTGTATGTATGTGTATGTGTATAGGTATGTGGATGGGTATGTGTATGTATGTGTATGTATGTGTGCATGTGCATGTGCATGTGCATGTGCATGTGCATGTGCATGTGTATGTGTATGTGTATGTGTATGTGTATGTGTATGTGTATGTGTAGGTGTAGGTGTAGGTGTATGTGTAGGTGTAGGTGTAGGTGTATGTATGCGTGTATGCATGTATGCATGTATGCATGTGTGTATGTATGTATGTATGCATGTATGTATGTATGTATGTATGTATGTATGTATGTGTGTATGTGTGTATGTATGGATGGATTGATGGATGCATATGCGTATGTGTGTGTATGGATGTATGGATGGATGGATGGATGTGTTAATGTATGTATGTGTGAATGTATGTGTGTAGGTGGGGAGGTGTGCATTATGTATGGATGTATGCGTGTATGTATGCATGCACGCATGTATGCATGCATGATGCATGTATGTATAGTGTTCCGCTCCTTCCTCCCGCATGCCCGGCCGCTCTTCTGATGACGGCGCGTGGCAAGAAATCCCGGTGAAGAGGCACGCCCTATGGCGTGGCAGCGGGGTGGGGGACACAGGGCGATAGCCGGCAGAAGAACTGCAGGCTACCTGACTGTGACACCCAACAGCTGCAGGTTGGGGGGCCCTCTGGCGCGCCCAACCCCCTAAACCGACAGGGCGCGAGGGGCCAACCTACGCCCACCGCGGCCAAACAGGCGAGTGGGCGGCGGATGGCGCCCCAAGTATCCCTTTCTACGGAGTCAGAACGGCCTCACAAGGCGGCATCTTGGCGAAGCAGCCCTGCTCTGCAGCGGAGCTGCTGCTGCGTCGCCCGCGGGATCGCCATCTCCGTCGGCAGCTGGATCCCCTCCGTGACGTAGATCCTGGCTGTGGTCTGCGAGCGCCAGCGGCCTAACTCCATAAGAGTTGGCATGTCACGCCGCCTCCGGAAATGCTCTGTGGCGCCACCCCGCCGGATGCTGTACCAGCGGAAGCCAAAATCCAGATTGAGTGCAGCTGCAGCTCTGGCCAGACGGGTCCGGTGGGTAGTGGCCCGCACATCTGACAGGGGCTCAGTGCAACCCCGGTGCTGCATGTAGACGTAAAGGAGCTTGACAGTCCAAGGGTCGAGCAACGGAAGCGACTCCAAGCAGCCGCCACGCGCGCCTCCTTTGCTGTGTGGAAGGACCCACACCCCAGACGTCAAGTCATCAGCAAATGTGAATTGAGAACGAGTGGCGTTGAAATGCTCCATGGGCCTCGCGAGCGCGTCAAAACCGAAGAGGATGAAGAACCCGGTGCAACGCCATTGTTGTGCAAAGCAGTATTGTGCGAGCGCGTACGCCCACAGTTTCGGAAGTGGCGGGGCTCGCGAAGGCAACTCTGAGCGCTGCCATGCGGTCAGGAGGCGCCACGACCCTCGGATGCAGCCTCGAAGTTGAGGAACAAAATGTGAAATACCAGAAAGCGCATCCGCGGCCATGGAGCGAGGCTCGCCTGTTTCCCATAACTCTTCGATGTACCCTGACAGCAATGTGTCAAGCGCCGCTGCTGTATTCGGTCAGCGGCGGCCAGAATTGACGATGTGCTGCAAAGTGCTCCGGACAGCGTCAGAATACCGGAGCGTCAGATGAGAGCGCAAGAAGTCCAAGACAGCAGTAGCCTCTAAGACGTTGATGTGTTGCTGGTTCCGGAACGCGTAGGACAGCGCAACCCTCCAGGTCCATAGCCCTGCGTCAAGAGGAGCCCAGGGCCACGCATTGAAGCGATGGGGGAGGCCTGCGTCAAGCCGGATGTCTGACCCCCGGTGATCAGCAAGCCGGATGAATTCCTGGACAAGCTCCGCCTCGGGCGCGAGCCTGGAATCGGCAGCTGCGGACGCTGGCGCAGGAGCAGCCGAGATGGCGGGGCCGCCGTGCGCCTCGGTCCACTTGCGCGTCGAAGCGCGCTGCGCCTCCGAATCGAGCCTCGCCCATGTAGTCCAAAGATCGTCAATGCAACCGCGCTGCAGGCCTTCCGGGGGCTGCGGCGAAGACGCCACGAGCACGAAGTCCCGCACCATCCGCGCGATGACAATGGGGCACGCGCTGCTGATAAGCTCGGCCTTGGCATCCTCGAGGCCGATTTTCAGGGAAAGGCGCTCGACGGGCCGGAAATGGCCCCATCGGAAGCCCAGCATGCGAATCTGTTCATCAGCTTTCAAGCGCCGGGGGCCGTGGCGGTCAGCGACCAGATTCTTATCCTCGCAGTGGTGTGCGGGGTGCCTGAACAAATCGTGGACGCAGCGCTTCCACGCCTTCTCAGAAACCTCCGCAGGACACTCTGGCTGCCGCCCTGGCGCGGGGCGCGGCGCCGGCGGCGTGAACGGCTGGAAAGGCGCTTCTGCGTTGACGACGCGCCTGGCCCCAGACTCGAGGAAGTCGTGCACGGCCGGCGTACGAGAGCAAGAGAATGTCCAGAATGCCCCACCACGCTCCGAACCTGTGGGCCTGAAATCGGAAGCCTCGCACGGCCGGGAGCCGCGAGCCCAGAAGAAAGACTCCCGGGCGCATGGGGAGGGCGGCAGCAGCTTGCACGTGGATCGGCTGGTGGCCGACCTGCCTGCTCACCTCCTGCACGTCCGTCTCTGCGACGGTCGCCTCGTACTCGATGAGGCCCACGACGCTCCAAGCAGCGCGCCGCCGCAAGGACTCGGAGATGCGCAACGGCACCTCGAGGTGAGAGATGGGCCCCTTCGAGTCCGGGCCGATCCGCGCCACGCAGCTGCACTGGAGAATCCGGCGGGCCTGAGGATACCAGCTACTCCACTTGAGAACCTCCTCGTGCGTGACGGCGCAGGCGTCGGGGCAGCAGAAGGCCCGCGGCCAGGCTGCGCGGACCATGCCGCGGGCGACCTTCGACGGCTCGACGGCGATAATACCACAAGGCGTGATGCCCAGCAGATCGAGGGCCATTGCTGCCCCACCCGTGGCGTCGAACACGCTGACGACGAGAATATCGGAGGGGCAAGCGGGCGCGCCGGCGCGGAGCGCGCCGAGACGGGCCACCCCCTTGGGCGAAAGGCCAGCAGAGACACATGCGCCTCCACCCGTCTCAGAGGCGTCGGCGGTCACGACTCCCCCGGACACCTGCGCGGCGAGGTCTGTCCAAAGGAGGGGCGTGGCGAGAACGACTGCCAGCAACTCGTCCGCCGCGCCCCCACCGAGGGGCCCGGGCAGCCGCCCGACCGAGAGCTCGCGGAAGATCCGGCCGAGGAAAGAGAAGTAGCCGCGGCCGAACTGCATCGAAGGTGATCCGCCCGACGTCCGAGAGGAGGTCGTCATCGCGCACGCGCTCTGCGGTGATGTGGCCCAGCGCGCGCCAGAGACAGTAGGAGCGCCGTGATGGCGACGTGCCGACGAGCCTGTCGGCCCCCCGCAGCTGCGCTCCGAGCGTCTCCCAATTGATGGCCCCCTCGGCAGACTTCTCCGGAGCCCGGCGGACGCCGGCGGCAGCTTAGGCAGCTCGGACGGCGCGCTGCTCACCGCTGGGTTTGAACACGTATTGCTCCGCCTCCGTCTCCAAGACCACCTTGCCCTGGCCCCAGTTATCTACGTAAACGGAAAACCAGTTCCGGGGCAGACCTGCGCTCGAGGGGGCACGGTGGCCCATGCGGACAAGGAGGTCAGCTGAGATGCCAGCCCCGCTCGGCGCCTTCCCGGTGACGAGGTTCTCGCGCGCCTCCTGGATGAACGCCGCGGCGCTGACCCAGCCCATGGGGCACGCCCGCAACCGCGGCCGCGCCCAGGCGGAGCCAGGGGGCCCGAGGACCTCTCCAGGGGCGGCCTCCTCGATGACGAAAGCACCCCTCCAGGCCCGCGGCACCCTGTAGAGGTGGAAGCACCCGCTCTGATCCTCCGAATAGTGGACCTGAATCTCGTCAGGGTGCAGAACAAGAAGGGGCCAAAGGCCCGGGTAGCCCATGGCCTTCGCAGCACCCCCATAATGCCGCTGCAGCGCGTTCGTCGGCACGAGGTTCACGATGAGGCGAAGTACCCGACGCTGACGATTACCTACTTGTTTCCAGGATTTGTGGACCCCAAAGAGCCCGTTCCGGACAGGGACGCCTCGATGCGTCCACGTCTCCTCCGGGACCTCGGCCTCCATGACGCCTAACTTGCACAATGCCTCCACTATTTTGAAGTACTCGGCCTTGGACTCTACGAGGACGCGAGCTTTCGGGAGCGGCTCCTGGACTTCGTCCTCGGGGAGCCTGAGGGCGCTGGGGTCGAGGAGAACTTCGCGAGCAGGGCCACTCAGCAAGTCCGCGAGCTCCACCTGGGCAGCAACCTCGGGGCTGGGAAGCCCGGGCAAGATGCCGTCAAGCGTGGGCGGGAATGCGCGCGTCACCTGCTCCCCCCAATAGAGCTCCGACGCCCGCTGTTCAACGACGGCGGACGGGGCGAGGTTGACGGGGCCCCCTCGTCTACCAGGATGGTGGCGAACCTCCGGAAACGGGCCAAGGCTTGCACCTGTGCCGGAGAAGGCTCCGCTGGGTACTTGAGGAGCTTCGCGAGGAGGCGCGGGCCCCCCAGGAACCCGTAGTTCGTGACCAGGGCGGTCAACTCGACCCATCCGTCGATCCCGACCTCACGGCTCACGGGGGGAAGGGACTGGGAGGCTCCGCGGCGGCTCCGGATTGCCGCCAGCGCGGCAACGAGGCCAGTCGAGCGAGTCGGCCGCAGCACGGGCAGCAGCTCCCCGGGACCGGCCAAATCTTGCCACGCGCCGCACGGCCAAAAGCGGCTGAGTTCACCTAGGCCGCCGGGTCTGCCCTCGATGTGCTCCACGAGGACGGCCCCAAGCTGCGCGACCGATGCCCCGGTGGAGAGCTGCTCGGCTAACCGGCGCCACGCCCCTCGCATGTCGAGAACTGGCTCGCTTGCGCCGCGTCCAAGGTCCAGGCGGTCTATGAGAGCCTTAGCCGTCTCAGCCTCAAGTCGTGAGCCAACGCGGAGGCTTCGCCCGAGGAGCGCCTCCCGCTCAAGGGTTTCGGCCCCAGGGTGACCGCCCCATTCAGCCCAGTACGATCGCGGGAGTCCGAGCGACGGGACGCCTCCTCCGACGCACACGGATCCGTCCGCCGAAGTCCGCGAACCGAGGTCACCGACGAGGATGTGCACCCCGGAGTGGACGCAGATCTCCCCATTCGCCGCCTCCTTATGCCCCCGCCGGCGCTTTTCTCCGAGTCCGGAGCGATCCTCCGCACCAACAGCGGCGCCTAGTAGCGGGGCCCTCGCGGGGGAGGCCGCCGCGGGCTGGGCCTCCTTCCTTTCCCTGTTTCGTGCCCCCCTTTTCATTTTCCTTTGGGATCTCGTCCTGGCGGAGGCCGCCGGCGGCTCCTGCTCCTCGAGCGGGTTCCCGATGAGATCCGGCCGCGGCGCCGAGGCCGGGAGGGTGCGGCCCGCCTGTCCTGCTCCTCCTCGCGCCGCGCGTCCCGGAGGTCCCCCCTGTCGTACGTCCCGACGGTGTTCACGGGGATCAGCTCTAGCCAGCGCGCGTTCGTCCAGTTGCCCTCTTCGATGGACAGCTCGATCGCCTTGAGCCTCTGCACGGCGATGTCGAGGGCCGTCAGAATCCTGCCCTGCAGGATGGCCTCGATGGCGGCCGCGATGGTCTTCAGCTCGCGCGCACTCCGGAGGCCCACGGCGGCCTCCCCGGCCGGGCGAGCGCCGAAGAACGACGTGACGAGGTAGGCCCGGATGACGTTGTTGAGGAGGCCCCCCCCGAGGACGAGGAGGTCCTCCGCCGCCACCCCGCGCATGTGGCCCTCCATGCGCCGGAGAGCCTGCTGCGCGAGGGCCCCGGGGAACCTGGCCGCTACGACGTGCGTCGGGGGACGCCCTCGGTCGCGCTCCCCACGGCGGCCCTCCCCGGCCGCGTCGGGAACGGCCCAGAAAGCCGCCCCTGGATCTCCTCCACCCTCCGTGTCCGCGGCCGCCAGGATGCGCCCGACGAGCTCCTCGCGGAACCGCCCCGTGAGAGCGGCTGCAGGCACCTCGCCTGGCGGCAGCGGCAGCGCGGGCCTTGCATGGTTCATCCGCTCCCGGGCTGCGCGGAGGAGTCCACGTAGCTCGGCGGCACGCGGATCCTCGCCCGCCGCGCCTGCGGCAGGGGCGAGCGGATCGACCGGAGCGCCCCCAGGACCAGCACGCGGCGGCGCAGCGCTGGCCCCTGGTGCCGCAGCCGCCGGCGCCACGGGGGCCGCAGCGGCGCCTCCAGCTCCAGCAGCCCCCGCGGCCGCGTCGGGGACGGGAACACCGAGGGCGCCCGCAAGCGCCTGGAGCTCGTCCGCGAGCCCCGGATCTGCAAAGGGTGCCTGAGCCCCGGGGGGCCCAGGCGAACGTTGTGGTGGCCGGCGGGCGGCAGCGCCCGGCGCAGCAGCAGGCCGGCGGCGGGCGGCCTGCGGCACGGCGGCAGCTGCCGGTCGCCGCATGCGCGACGACATCGTCGCGGTGCAACGCGGGGCGCCGCTGGCAGGCCCGGGACAGCATGCCTATGTGCCGAAATGCCTGCGGGTGCTATCACTCCGCACTAGCATCTGGGGCGTATTGATGTGTGTATGTATGTATGTCTGTATATTCGAATGTATGTATGCATGTATGATGTATGTATGTACGTATGTATGTATGTGTGTATGTATCAACACGCACACACGCTAGAACCATCGCGAGCGTTTCGCGCGCGCTAGCCTGGATGGTCGAGTTCTGGGGGACCGCTAGTGTATTATATGTCTTTTCTGGGGTTTCCACGAACCACGTAGACGGCCCAAGTGGCTTCCAAGACGTCCTACGGTCCACCCACGGCGGCCTAAGACAGGCCCAAGAGACACCACTTCGGGGGCCCTTCTCTTCGCCGCGGCTGGACGTAGCTGGAGGGCGTCGGAGGAGAAGGGGAAGTGAATGGCGTTCCCTGGGGGACAAGGAGGAGGAGGAGGATGAGGAGGAGGAGGAGAAGGAGGAGGAGGAGGAGAAAGAGAAGGAGCGAACGAATCCATGAGGGCGGATTTGCTCCGTGCCCCACGCGCGCCCGCTAGCGGCCGCCGTGCGGGGAAGCTCCCAGACGGAGCGATGCGCGGGCCGTGGCGCGGGCCTCAATGATGTTGCGGTAGGTGGCGCCGTCGAGCGAGCGCAATGGAAGTCGCGGAAGAGTCTTCTAGGAGCCCTCTTGGAGCAATCTTGAGATCCTCTTGGGGCGTCTTGGGGCCTTTTCGGCCCGTCTTGGGCCTCTGCGAAAACTCCTTTGAGCCCTGTTTGGAAGCGTGGTTGGGCTGTCCTGGTCTGTCGTGAAGCCTTTCGGGGGTATCAGAATCCCGCGCAGCTCTCTTGGATTCATCCTGAGCGGAAAGGGATGGCACAACGACTACAAACAGGACCGCCGCATGGCTGGACTCATGTTGGTCGCCTGGATATCCTCGTGGGGCCCTGGGGCCATCTTGGATGCACCCTGGGGGCCCCTGGGCTGCCCGTGGGCCCTCTTAGGCGACGTTAGCAACGCCTTGGGTTTTTTGTTTAAGTACAGCCTTGTTAGTCTGGAGCAACATGCAGCAAGCCATACCTGCGGTGCGAACAGAAATGGGTCCCCCTGCTATGTGCGGGTGCATCCCACTGCCATCTCACAGTTCTGCAAGGCTACGCGCCTGGCAGCATGTAGACACACCGTGCAGCATGCAATGTCCGCGCAATGCAAGCGGGAATAGTGGTAAATGAGATTTGCGGGTGCATGCCGCTGTGCCCAAACAGCTTGTGCAGCAAAGCTACGCGCCTACTCGCTACAGCAAAAGGCGATGATAAAAAAGACAGTGCTGGTGCTCACCACAGATCGATTGGAAGCGATCTTGGCCGTTGCCGGGGAATCTGGTGCGCACCTTCTGTGCTTGCAAGAAACCCGGCACCCCCCAGAGGGCTTTCGGTGGGCCACGGAGCTCGCTGGTCGGGCGGGGTGGCGGGGCCAGTGGTCTGCTGCCCCCCCTCCTACTGCTCGTCTTCCTCCTCCCTTCCTCCTCCTTTTCTTCAGTATCATTTTCATCATCATGTTCATCATCATCATCAGCAGCAACAGGATTGTCATCATCAGCATCCGCATGCTCGCTGATATTTTATCAATATCCGTAGCAGCAGGGAGTGATACGAATAGTTGTAGTAGTAAGATCAACAACAGCAGCGCCGTAGTAGTCGTAGTAGTACCAGCAGCAGCAGAAGTAGCAGTATCAGTAGGAGCAGTAGTAGTTCTAATAGCTGTGTTC